TCACACCTGTCATCCTAGCTAATCAGAAGGCTAAGATATGAAGACTGGGGTTCAAAGCCAGCCCAGGTAGGAAAGTCTGAGAGACTCTAAAAAGCCAGACATAGAGCTATGTCTCAAGTGGTAGAGTGCCAGCCTTGAGCTTTAAAAAAAAGCTCAGGGGGCTGGGAAGATGGCTCAGTGGTAGAGAGCTTGCCTTGCATGCCTGAGGCCCTGGGTTCGATCCCTCAGCACCACATAAGCAAAAAGAAAAAAGCCGGAAGTGGCACTGTGGCTCATGTGGTAGAGTGCTAGCCTTGAGCTGAAGAGCTGAGGGACAGCACCCAGGCCCAGAGTTCAGGCCCCACGACCGGACCCCCCCCCCAAAAAAAAAAAAAAGCTCAGGGACAGTTCCCAGGCCCTGAGTTCAAGCCCTAGTATCTGTGCCTACACACACACACACACAAAAAAAAAAAAAAAACTTTGATTCTTCATTTAAATAAAACTAACTCTTCAGCACTCTCTCCTCCCACTGTCTACATTGCACTTTGTCAGTCTTGTCTTGGCAGGAATTTTATTTTCCTCCGAGATATTGTGGGCTTCTTGTGAGCAGCAGCTGCTGTTTTCTCAGATGCAGACTGGTGCTGGGTTCCAAGGTTTGACCTGAGTTTCTGGATCCATTTCATGCTGTATTTCCTGAACCAGGAGCCATGAAAGCTCACAGATGAACAGTCAGTGGTGTGCCCAGTGACAAGGCACACCTTTGTTTATGCTTCATGTGACAGGCCATTGGCTACCAGTACCTGGTTGTTCAGCCCAGCACAGAGTTGTCAGTGAGCAGGTTTCTTCCTGCCCCTGTGGCTACCTATAATAAACTCTGGTCTTTGCCCTCTAAAGTTCACTGGGAAGGGACTAAGCTAGTGGACACAATGTTTTCCAAAACAGCCAAACAGCTAGCTTGGATGATACCATTTGTTCTAAGATTAGTTTCTTGTTTCTCTGTTTCCTCAGATATGACTCTGAGTAGATACTACCTGTCAGGGACTGGGGTTGCAGGACCAGGTGAGTGGCCAGCATGGACATTAGCATGATTTAATTGTGGCTGTGAAAACAGCCACATGACTTCCTGGGTTCCTGGAGAAAGGAGGATGGTGAGACCCAGACACTCCCACAGATACAGACTGAGAGCCCGACTTTTGTCCCTGTTCAGGCCTAGGATTCCCTGGGAAAGTCCCCAGCATCCAAGAGCCCCCATGCCTCCCTTTTGTCCCATGCCTGGGGACACAGATGATGGCGTGGAAGGGGGTCCTACCAGCTCTGTACCAGCTGCACTGAGGGTGTGCCCAGAACCCGGTCAGGAAGCAGGTTGATCTCTTTCATGATGTTGGCCAAGCGTACCGGCAGCTCCTGCCGGAGGAAGGTGAATGAAGTTTTCTCACAGGCATTGCTGGACCCTGGTGAAAAATAGAAACGGATGAACCCACAACTGCGCATGGGAACAGCAGGAGTTGGTAAGAGTTGGTAAGGCTGCACTGACCAAGAAGTCAAGGAGGGAGTAACCTTCCAGGTACCTAGCAAAGCAGCTCTCCTAATCTTGTAATGCTTAAGCCTCTCTCACAGCCCACTAATCACTTCAGGGGTGACATTCCCTACCTATCTGTAGCTGAACCTCCATTTGCCTTTAACCATGGTGGGCAGGGCCCATTTGAAGCTGCTGCTGCCTAAAACACCTCACTTTTCTTCCCATCAGGCACTCCCTCTAAGGGAATGACCCACGGGGACAGAGGTCCCTGAGACATCTGTCCTTCCCCAGGCTGCACCTAGTTGATGGGAGCTAGGCCTAGACTCTCACAGCTGCAGGTCCCACACTGGCCGTGGCCCAGGTCACCTCACCCAGGATGGTGATGGAAAGGGGGTAGAAAAATGATGGCAACCTGGAGGCAGAAAGGATACCCAGGTTTTGGCCTGGTCCCTATCTGCTTCTAACTCCATCATTTTGTGATTAAGTCCTTTGCACCTAGGGTCCAGTACGGGATAGACAACTGCTGGAGCAAAGAAGCTTTTCTTCATAGGTGAAGTCTCTGTGTCAAATAGGGCATGTGGAGGGGTACATATTGTGGGAAACAGGTGTCCTGTCCTGTCCTGGCTGCCACTTCTCTGCTCATTCCCATCAGTGACAAAGCTGTAACCTAAGCCAATGCTATCTACCCAACTCTTAAGATCTGGACCGACTCCCAGTCCCAGTTGGCACGATGAAAATGCCGTTTCAAGAGATAGAGCCCATACCACTGTATCAGTCACCATGGCCTTCCTCCTGCCCCAGAACCACCCTCACAACTATGGTTAGCAGGCGATCCTGACCCAGAAATCCAGGGGCAGCCAAGGGAGGGTGCAAGTGGCCTGACTACCTCATGGTAACTTGGTTCTCTGCCCGGCTCAGGACAGGCTGCCAGACTAGAATGGATTTGATCTTCAAGTGTCCTTGCCCACTGCTGGGACAGCTGCAGTGGCTGGAGGTAGACTAACTGGTTAGGGAGGACTTCTGGTGGGCATCTGAAAGAGTGCCCCTCGCCCAGCTGTTGGGAGATGTCTCTGCTGCTCTGACCCTTCATGCCCAGCCCAGGTCTCCCTCCATATGGCTGTAACTGTCAACCGGCTTTGTCACTCACATTGGTAGTTCCCTAATTTCTCTCTATCCCCCACACTTGGCGCCAGGACAACCCCCATATTCAGGCCATTGATGGGTCCAGACTCCCTCTCTGCCCCACCATGCAGCCCTCCCACCCCTTACAGTCACAGACTCCTCGCAAAGCCCAGGGAGGGGGAACCGTGACCCCTCCTCTTCAGGCTCCCCCCACACTCCCACTAACAGTCTGGGGGACAGTGTCTCTTGCCGGGGTACACTTAACTCTTTAAGGACCCAGTCTGCCTCACCGTTAACCCCTTCCTGACTGTACCCTGATACTCAAGGCCTCTCGTCTCCTCGGCGTTAACCCCTGATTGCCGGGACCCCCTCTTCCGTGCCTCGCGGCCCCTCGCCCCCTCCGTACCGAAGTCCAGGAACTGCTTCATGGACAGTGGGGACGGGGAGAACTTGCTGAAGTGCTCGATGTACTTGGGCGCCCCTGCCAGGGACGCATTCTTCAGCAGCGCCCGGACCCAGCGCATGGTGGCGGCGGCGACGCCCGCGGTCGGGGCTTGGATCGGGCTGCGGAATCCCCCGGTCCCCGGGTCCCCCGAGCAAGCGGCACAGGCGCTCGGCTCGGTCCCGTCCGGCCCAAGCACCGGGGTTCGGTCACCACCTCCCTCCTCCTGCCCTGGAGGCGCCTCCAAAGCTCAGCCAATCGGCTCGCCGCGGCGCCCCGACGTCTCCAATGGCTGCGCACAAACAACTCCGGGAGAACCAATAGCCTTGCGTCTCGGCACGTGGCTTCCCTCTTGGCCCGCCCCCTTAACCCAGTCAGTGCGGGCGGCGGCCTGTTGTTTTC